GTAGAAACCTTTAGTTTACTCATATCTAATTCGAGAAACAGGCGTCTGTTCACGGCAACAGTCGTTTGTAATATGGCATTGGATAGGAGAAGCAAAGTCATGGTGCTCCATGCTGGGGCGTCGACACACAAAAATACTGGAGGGGCGTGTGCATAGCACCCTGAGAAACTGTATGGGGGGGGGGGGAATGGGAGGTGCAAGCATATCTTTAAAGCAACTATAGGTTTGCTGCAATCGGATGTGCTGGGCGAAAGGCCCCCAAAAAGTCTTCGTCTAGCTGTAACTGGCCCTTTATGGGCGCAGAAGCACAGGCACCGGAGACTGAAGGCTCAGATCCCTTGATGCTACATCCCCAATAATTCTGTAAGAGGCCTAAGAGGTTCCCTTTAAATATGTATTTATTTTCTTTAAAAGTGTTTCTTTATGCATTTTATCTTATTTCGGGTAAGGTTTACTATTTATTTGCCCTTATAATAAGAATAATTATGTTGAATAACAAATAAATATAATAGTATATATATATATATATATATATATATATATATATATATATATATATATATATATATATATATATATATATATATATATATATATATATATATATATATATATATATTATATAAAGTATACCCTACCAACATTTGTTTGTGTGTAGGAGAGGATGGGGAGGGATGTTCCTAAGTTGTCCTTTCCTAATCATTTTATCCCTAATCCCTCCCCATTATATATAGACTGTTTCTTTTTAATTTGTTTCAGCAATTTATATTTTTAAATATGTTTTGGTGTAGTATATTTATTATTATTGTTATTATTATTAGTTAGGGGCGGTGGGCCCTCCAATGTATTAAGCATTGCTTAATAATAATAATAATAATTTTATTATTATTGTCTAATTAAACAAGGATTAAGCCCTTTTCCAACCCTTAAAGATTATTGAGTGGAGGGATGTTAGCACCCCTCTCCCAAGTTTTTTGTGTGCAGGCGTGCCTGCGGAGAAAAAAAAAAGAACTTACGCACTCTTGTCAACAACGAAGCAATACACAACTGAGCCGACTCAACTCCAGATCTTGCGGCGAGGGCCTCCAAAAAAGTAGGCCTTATTTAATAATAATATAAGAATGTGGGAATAAAAATAATCACTATTATTATTGACCGATTGTTATTCGATTATCATAAGTGATGATGACCAGTCCTTTCATCCAATGGTGTCTGGGTTAAGTTTTGTGAGTGAGCAGATGGCTGCTAAGGCCAATTCTAGCACTGAAAGTTCTTTAGCAATGTGGATAAGGAATAAAAGCCGCATCTCTCTGGTGATTTGCTTCAGTGTCTTTCCTGGCTTGTCTTTTCTGTATTGCTCCTGCAGTTCTAGCAGCTTCATGGACCACAGCTCTTCGATGAAGAGAGGAGCGTCAAGATGAGTGGTCACATACAGCTACTTTCCAGGATTTAGGATCATTACAGAAGTCTGGTAGTCTGGTAGAAGAAGTCTTTCAATTAGGTCTTGAGGCTGTCCTTTAAAGGTTTCTTTTTTTTCCACCTTGAGAGCGTTTGCCTTTTAGTAGCTCAACATAGAAAATTATTTTTGGCAGTCAGTGGTCAGGCATGCGGACCAAATGACCTGCCCAGCGAATTTGTGATTATTTTAGAGTCGAGTTAATACCGTAAAGTTCAGCTCTATGAAGGACTTCACTGCCAGGGATCCTGTCTTGCCACTTCCGAAGGATACTATGTGAAAGTTGTTCAGCTTCTTAGCATGGCGCTGGTAAACGGTATTGACCAAATAAGCCACGCTTGAGCTCCATTATGACACTAGATCATTATTGGGCGTACTTTTGTCGAGCCATCCCTCTTGTCTAATACTTTCTCTGTGCCGGCGCGTCTGCGTAGAAGAAGCAGAACACATGCACTCTTGTCATCAAAGAGACAAACACGCAACCTAGCCGACCCGCCCCAGTTACATACATTAGGGATCTAGGTCATGTTGCCAGCTGTAGCGCCGGCGCTCTCTGATTGGTCGGTTTCCAGTCAGCTGAGGCTGATCCGTCTGCCATGTCGGTCAAGCTGCTCCCGTTAGATTGTGGATATGTTGAATAACTTCCCATCTACCAGGATGATATAATCACTCTCGCCGCTTCAGAAGGGATTGATTTAGTCTTTATTACATTCCGCTTTAGAATATTTTATGTTTGGTGCACCGCACTATCTGAATTCTTAGGAATGCGATTCTGAACTGAACCAAGTCTGCTCGGTTTGTTTAGGTATCGTGTCGTTGTTTCAGTTTTGTCTCCTTAGAAAGACAGAAAGTAACCAAAGAAGAAGACTTTCGGAAGATCGTGGTGTACTTGTCGCGTCCAAAATAAGATAAACTTTAAACCCAGGTCTTCAAAACTAAAGACGTAAGTTGTCTTGGCGACTTGTATAAATGTGAGACTACATGTGAGTTTAGTAACTAAACTTCTTTGACATTTAATAATTGATCTATTTCAATTATGTATTATCAGTATATCATCAGCTAATTGAAACTTTCTTCAGACTTCTGTATCAGATTCTTAATTTGTGATTGTCGTCTACAAGACTGCAGTAGATTATGTTCATTATGCTTTCTGTTACTGAATTATATTTTGACGTAATACTAATAATAGTGTATTACTAAGTAATGTTAAGCAGTGAGCAATGTTCATCGTTCATTTAATTTTATATTATTAATATTTATGTTGTTAATATTATTTGTTGATGTCCTAACCGAACAAGACTTCTTGTGATTTACTTTGAATGTCATCATATCTAAAATTAGACTTTACAAATTACGGTCAAATGCAGTAGCAAAAGGAATAATTATTTGCCAGTCTTGTTTGTTTTGTGCAGTCTTCAATCGGCTTCCAGTGAAAGTAAGATAAATAATAAAGAGTAAAAATAATTTATGTTATGTATCTCAGATACTATCTGAGAAATTAACCTTATCAGGGAAACAAATTTGTTTGAATCTGTAACAGACCTATTCAGCTAAGTTCATTCAGAGCCCAAAATTTTGAAAATGGGGATCTTCACAGGTCAGGGGCCACAGCCTAGAAAGATCGTTAATATAATACATTTGGCAGTGATCAGATCCACAGGCTGCTTGTTAGGTTTCTGCTGGCTGGATTCCGCCAATGGGACGCCAGCAAGATATGTATATTTGAACATAGTTCATTCATAAAAGGGCAATTTATAGAGGTCTGTTTATTGCTACTTGTAAGGAATCCATTGTGCTAATAATAAGCATGATTATCACTATGTAAAAGCTGGAACCCACGAAGGAAGATATATTCATTCATTATATCTTAGATGCAGTAACTGATTAACATTTGCTTACTTGGTTCAGAGGTAGTCATGGTAGAAGCGCAATGCTGGGGTAATTCACCCAAAACAAAAATAAATCCGCATCTCCTGCAGCTTTGCTCCTGAGTCCCAGCCATCTAGTTTAGCCCCAATCCACGCCGCATGAGCGGCAGAGGGAATACTCTTGTCGGTGGCGGTAGTCGCCGGAGATCCGCAAATTAAGTCTCTAGAAGTTCGCAGTTTACATGTGACTGAGGCCCTGTTTTTGGCTGCTATAATATGTGCCCATTATTTGGAGGATAGCCCTCTTTTATAATGTGTGTTTTAATAGTCATAACCTGTGCTAAACATAGCTGCCAAGTTTTTTTTTTTTTTGGTGAATTAAAATTGAACTACCCAGTGCTGTACACTTCCTGTCTGCCTGAAGGTTAAGGGTTCGACTATGCACAGGATGGATTTGAACACAGTTGTGTTTGGCTCCCAGTTTGACTCAGCTAGGGTACCAGAAAATGTCCTTGGAAGTAATGGTGACTGGTTTGATGTTGACCACATCACCCAGTGAGTGCTGACTAGTCTATAAAAATAACAGTCTGGCATCAAATGCTCCATTGATGGGAAAAGGGCCCTTTATATTACTTGGTACAGAATAAACTATTTTATTATCTTGCTCTGAGTTTACAATGCTACTTTTCCTTGCATGTTTTATACCCATGCAAGCTTAAGTTCAATCATATTCTTGATCTTCCTCTTGGTTTAGTCCCAGGTCCTTTAATTGATACACTGTTGGTGGTAGTTAGTTTTATTAACATAAGATGCCTCAACCACTTCATCAATTGTATCACTTCAACCAGTGAATCATGCCTGTTACATTTTTGATGTGGTTAGCTCATTATATTCTAAAAACCCCAGCTACTATTCTCAAGTATTTCATCCCGTTAGTAGCAAATGCTCTATAGTGGAATGTTGACAGTGACCGAGCTTGAAATTTGTCAATGAATCACAATATGAAACATTGATATCCTGTGTCATTTAACTACAGTGATAACCTTTGAATGTTTGAGCAAAGGCTACCTCTGATAAATAATTGTATTTTGCCTTATGACACCTGGTTTCTGTTGAACACTATATGTTATAGATATAAGCTGTTAGGGTTTCATGTATACTAGGTCATGACATGAGGTGGGGGATCAGATCCCTTTGTCATGGTCAGTTAAGGAATAACAGCTCTGGAGTCATGTAGCAATGTAATGAAAGATTTATCATTAAAGACACAACAAACTTATGATTAGACTCTGTTTTGGGTATTTGTTAGTCAATGTTTTTAGTCACTTGTATTTTTCCTTATCCTTTTCTTCTTTTTTTTTTTTCCCCACTTCTACCCTGTTTCCTCCTATTTCCCTGTGTCATTGTTACTTTTTGTTTGTTGTTGAGAGGAAAAGGTTTTGGGGGTGGGGGGTAGGGGGGTGGGATCTTCTTAGCACTATTTTTCTAGCAGTTTTTCATCATCTCCTTCTCCCTCTTTTGACACTTGAAATCTTTGTTGTTAAATAATTTTGTGTGTGTGGCCTTGTTGTTATAGTTCTGTTGTAGTGTTGGTATGAAGATGCCTTTTAAAATCTTATGCTACATTCTTATGTTTACTTGTTGCCAGGAAGCAGTGACAGTGAAATTTGCCAGGAATGGGCAGCATAAAAAGTCTAGTCGTCCGGGGATCAGTGCTATTTCTGATTGGAGTATTCTTTGCACTGGTGTTAAACCTGCTTCAGGTGCAGCGTCAGGTGACAGTTTTTCCTCCGGAAGTTCTGGCCAGTTTGTTTTCTTCTGCCTGGTGGATTCCACCAAGTTGTGGAACTGCAGCAGGTTCGTTCCCCATGTTAAACTGCTACTTACTGCCTTTATTATATATACCACTTGTGCGGTGTAGGCGGGGGGTCTTGGAGCCTGAGGATTTCCTACTGCATGGCTAGTGCTGTTGCCACGACTGCAGGTGAGAATTTTATTTTGCCCCCGAAAGAAAAAAATCCCCTGCCTTACCGAGGATTCGAACCTGGCTCTCCTGCATGAGAGCCCAGCCTTCCAACCGTTGTTCCCCATGTAATAAGCAGTATTTTTTTTTTTTTTGGGAGGGAGAGACTGACTCGAGAGTGAGAGATCATTGTGCGACACTTAAAGAGCAGTGGTTAAACATAGCCTTCCTGTCTTTAACTTGTTTTTTCTAATGCATTCACCAACTGTGAAATTTGGTGGAGAGTCTTTGTTTTTCTTTCTGGTCTGGATAACTCAAGTCTTGTTCTAGTGATTTTTTTTTTTTCTGTATATTTGTTTGACAGGTCTGTATGTGTGTGGTTGTTTTTCCGGTTTTGGTTTGTTAATGACATTTTGTGTGTTCCTCGCTTCTCAGGCAGATGGACTCTCGACTTCAGTCTTATCTGTTCAGTTAGACCCCTGTTAGAAACCATCTTTTGCACAACAGTTGTATTTTGTAAATAAGGCGTGTTATGTTCATATAGTAATATGCATATAATGAATATCAAGAGAAAACACAAAAGCATTGGTGGTAAAATACTTGCACACTCTTGCATGCTCACACGCACTCACATGCATATGTTCACTCACTCAATGACATACAGATGCATACACACCCACATACATACACACACAGACACACCGGTATACATACATACATACACACAGACACACCCATAAACATACAAACATATTACATACATGCACATATACCACGCACGCACCAGCGCACAAACACAAAACACACACATACATTCATTTATTCATTCATTCATAATACGCACACACACATTGCTAATTTATTTTCTTAAGTAGATTTATAATGTCCCTTCACTTTACTAGTAACTCATTTTGTTTGCTTCTGATCACAGCTATCATTGGTTTGTTATATCCATGCCTTGATAAAAAATTGGGAGAAGAGCTTCACTACAAGAGGGAATGGAGCAGTGTCATGAGATGTGTAGCTGTGTTTGTTGGGATCAACCATGCTAGTGCTGTATCCTTGGTGAATTACCTTTCAATAAACGATAGTGTAGCACATTTCACAAAGGTTCCGGGGCCCTATTATAGGGAAAACAAGAATAAACCCACTGCCTACCTAAAAGCATGTCGTAAGAGTAGACTGATTGGAAGCTTCCTACGAAGTCGGAGTGCATCTGCCTGAGAGGCAAGGAACCAGCAGTCCGCACACAAATGAGTCAGATCTGTCAAACGGATGCACACGCAACACTTAGGTTTTGGAACAGGACTGCAGTCCAGAAGTGGATGAACAACCAGAACTTTCTACCAGAGTTTACAGCTGGTGACCGCAAAGAAGAAGATAATGGATCTTTTACAAGGTGTTTGTAGAATCAGCCCCATAATTGTTTGGCTGTTCTTAATTTTGCTAGGTGATTTTACCGTCGGTAGTTTGTCATTGCTTTCTGAATGGTTAATGCTATATACAATTGTCAGAAGCTGGAGTTAGCATGATCACAAAGACTTTAAGGATAATTACATGAGTCAAGACTATGTGTGCACAGAAGAGCAAAGGAAGAGAAGTTAGAATATGGTATGCATGGGTGGTTGGATGTGCTCTGATTGCTTGCACTTGCCATGCTCCTGTCGAGTTTTCCCTCAGTACAAGCCAGACTAAACATTGATGACCAATATATCTTCATTATTGCCATTTACGATAAAGGTAAAGTGGGTCAAAATCCTTTTTTTTTTTATAACGCATAGCCTTTGTATGTTCTGGTTTATTCTTTTATGCGTTTAAAGTTTTTGGGAAATGACAGCAGGAATTACTATTAAAAAAACTAGAGACTCTTCAAAATAAATGTCTAAGAGGAACCATGTGAATGTTTCAGCCAAAATAGATAATAAACGAACTGTTGAGGAAAACAAAATGTTCGTTATTAAAGATGAAGCTGGCTTGGTCGTATTTGCCTCATGCTATTTTAGGAAGAACAGTTCTCCAACAGATGGCAGATGGAATAAAGAGATGGACTACCTAAGAAACCTTTAGAATGGTAGTAGAAAGAAATGAAGAAACGTAAAATGACAATGGAGACAGTAGGCAGAAAAGCAGCAGATCGCCAGCGATGGAGTGATGGAGATTGTATTTGAATTCATTACGTGTCCACAGCTGCATGTAGAGGATATAGGCGGACATTTAAATTACAAAGTTTAGGACCAAGAGAACACAGAACTTGAAAAACATTGCTGAAACATTTAAAAGACCAAAAAGTCTGGACTTGAATGACATTGCTGATGATAGAAAGAAATGGAAAACATTATGCTTGTAGTAGAGGTATAAAGTTGATGAAGCTGATACAGTTGAAGTACATTTCAGTTATTTAACCATATGTTTGTTAAACACACTAACCCAGTGTAAACTACTGTATTAATACTGATGCATCCCTATGCGTGTTCTGAGACGCCATTGTGAGGGAAAAAGAATAGACCCCTGCCTCCAACAAGCGTAGTAAAAGTCGAGTATTTACGGGTGTTTCCTTCGTAGGCAGAGTGCATCTACCTGAGAGAAGAGGCGGCGGCAGTCTGCTCACAAATAAGCCAGATCTGTTAAATTAAATGTGCATGCAAAACTCAAGTTCTGGAGCAAGACTAAAGTCTACAAATAGGCAAACAACCGGAACTTTCCACTGCTGTTAAAGTGGCTATACCATAGTTAACTTCTTGTCAGTTGCAGATCCTTGTAAAGCTTTTTACTGGCATTACTGCATTGGTCAGTCAGTCCCTGACAAGACTGTTTAATGACATTGGTTCTGTTTAGACCATTTAGTCTTTAGGAGTGCGGAATGTGAATATATTTACAAACAGTTGCATTTTAGAGATTTTGTTGAGACACAGTTATTTTTATAGCCATGATGATATCATAATTCCCCTCTAGCCTTGAGTAATCAGGGTCACAGGATCACAGTATGAGTCGCAGTATAACTGAATTTATTTTGAGCTCAAGAGGCTGTTGTCATTTAATTTGCCACCCCTTCATGTATTTCTTTACAAGATTTAAAAAAACTAAAATAAATGATACATTTAACAAAAATGTATAATTGACCTGTATCAGAGAATGTTTGGGTTCTGGGCTGTTTTCCAAATAGCTTTTGGGGAGAAATGGAGGGGGGGGGGGGGGGGGTTGATAAAGGAAGAGGGGGTAGGAGAATTTCTATGTGTTAAAACAGTTTCTTTTCCATTTATGCCTTTATTGTTCTCTAAATGTTTTTATCCTTAACATTATAAAAGAAAATTGATTTTGCAAATAACATCCAGCTTTCAGTGAGTCTAGCTGCCATGTCTATTGGGCTTTGGTGGCTCTTTGATCGTTCCAGGTCCGGCTTTGGTCTAGGGGTTGGCATTGCTGTTCTAGCTACATTTGTAACTCAGCTGCTAGTGTATAACGATGTTTACAGGTGAGCTTTAGAAATATCATCTTCATAAACCACTTCTGCTGTTAAGCGTCATGGGGAGGAATAATTTGCAGTCCAGTCGACGCTGGCTACTATCCCTATTGTCATGCTGTTAAGGAGTAGTGTCTTTACTGTTGTTGATCCATATTTCATGGCAGTCCTCTTGTAGCTGATCTTCTGAGATATAGTGCCTGTGGTGGTTTTTGATGTGTATTTGCTATAAATGCATGCTAGGCATCTCTGTGACCTTTTTGGTAAGTCTGCTTTCAGCATTGGAAGTGTCCCACATGTTCAGGGTAGAACTTAGTGGAGTATTTCATTCACAAGTTTTGGTTGGCATATTATAGTTTACTTCTCCATCCTTGGTCTGTGAATTATGATATATCATCACGAGCACTCTGTCATCATCTTCAGCAGCCAGTTAAGAGTTCCAGCTGCGCCAGTGGCAAATTGATTATTTGTCCTTCTTATATTTCCTCTGGGTATAGAGCGTTGACTAGATCCCCTGATCACTCCTAGCTGCACCTTTCTCTTGAGGCGATAATGATCTGTTCGCGCCACCACATTGTTGACTTGCTCCCTGACCACAGCTAACTTGTTATGCACCACTTCACAGCCTACTAATGCAATCCAGCCATTCAGCCTGCCTGTTCATTTCCCAACACACCTGTATTCCCCCAAAAATATGTCCAAAGGACACTAACTATACTGGGCCTCTGTAGCGATGCTTGCCACTCTGTATTGGGCATGCAGATACCATCTGTATAGGTAATCACATCACTTGTGTGGTAATTCATGAATCTGCTGAATTTCAGGTTCTAAGTGCTTTCTGGCCAGTCCCTGCACACCTGGTTCAGTGGGACACCATTCTGACTTTGGTCAAACACTTTGACCCACTGAGTTTTCACTTATCAGCCTGTGGCCCTTAGCTGGACTTTATGAAGAAGGTGATTTTTATTAGCGGTTGTCCTGAGGTATGACCTAGCCTGCAGCATCTTAACTCTTTCAGGCCCATGAATTTTGACAGACTTGGCCCACATTAATTTCCCTTTACAAAAATTGCAGAGGGGTGGGTGTACGGCTGTAGAGATTGTAATATACTTCTAATCCCTATAAAAGTATATATTTTTAAAAAGAGAAATAAATGTACTTTTTGAATCTGATGATAAGTGTTTGTTTGATTTTGTTAGTTAGTGGAAAAGAAGAATTCAGCAGGTGTTAATTTCACAAGGACAACATTTCACAAAAAAATTCTTCACTAACCATGGTTTTGCAGCCACAAGAATAGTAAATATCCAAATTTGAGAACAAAACTTCAAAGTTTGTTCAATTTCCAAACATATTCTAAAGTTATGATAACTTTCTGGGTTAGTTTATCACTCAGGGGCTCTTAGTTCCCACCGAGTGCTAAGCAAAATTTCAGAGAAAAAATGGCAGAAAAATTAGCCATAACACACACACTATTTACTATTCACTGTACAGTTATTTACAGACTGTAGCTGCGATGATTTCAATGTAGCTTAGCCATAGTATAGTACTATCTCTTTATTTAGAGTGCTTTCCTTCTCTTACACCATAAATACGGTACATTATCACAATTAAGAACATCTGACTCAAACAATTTCAGAGCTTCGGCCGCAGAAAGACGCATTCTGCTACTTGTTCTTGTGGTTTGAACATTAGTATTCAGTACGCTCAAAAACGAACTTAGAAAATGAACTGCTAAAAAAATTTGATGTTTTTTTCTCTCAAATTATCCACGTGTAGTTTAGTCAAAGAAATGAAACTAAAAGGATTTCAGCAGAGTGACTTTCCCTGAATAGGTTATTCGTACCTCCAAACATTAGAAACTAGTACGAACGCGCATGCGAAGCAAAATGTAAGATACACAATTGATGATGACACCGTTGTTTGGGCAGAATGGAACTTCTCAAACTACGCTCACGCCGTTGTTTGGGCCTTAAAGAGTTAAGCCTGTCCGCAGTATTTGGTGGTGCAAGTATACATGTCATACAGACTACTATGACGTCTCTTGTACATCCCAGAATCATCAACTAATTGATTATGTATTGATTAGCAATGACAAATGTAGAGTATAGGAGTAGAGCTAGGAGGACACACTAGACAACATACAAGTCTAAAGCTGTAGTAACCATACCAGAACTCATATGTTTTGTCTCGGAGCAGGAAAAATGTACTTTGATTCTATGTTCAGTTGGCCTTGCAGTGAATTACTCTTGTTCCTGCTGCATTTTTGTTTCATTCTATAACCTGTTCTTTTGGCATTGTAGTCATACACAGGTAACTTTTGGAGGTTCCATTCTGGTTAGATGACAGAACCATTTTATTCTCTCAGAAATAGTTAACATTGGAAAAAGTGTAGTTACCCGTCATCCAAGTACATGTCACATGTTCACAGTTTAATTGTGAGACTGACATTAGTAATAATTGTGTGACATGCATTTTGACATATACAGCAGAGAATATGTGACACTAACTGTCGTGTACCATTATCTACATGAAGATCCGTTTGCAGATACTGTGTCATGGCTGACATTACCATTATTGATGAGCCAGTTAATGACTCAGAAATGTGTGTGTGTGTTTATTTAGTATAATATTAACTAGCGTGGGCATGGAAATAACAGTAAAGGAGAACATAATGATGGGTAAGAGAGGCAGGGATGGACCAGCATGAAGGTGGCACAAAACATAAGAGACACCTTGGGCAGGAAAGTATATGAGATGGGAGGAATGGCCAGTGACTTAAGGCAGCCACCAGAGGTGCTGACAACTACAGTCTGTCACTATAATTGCAATTCATAGTTGATTGAAGCAGTAATGACAAACTAGCAGGTGCACATGCATTACTGCATAGGACACACTTCAAATTCTGTGGCTGTCAGCCCATCACCATTTTCTAAATATGCAGTTTGCAACACACATCTCTTGAAGCACAGACAATATCCTGTTTGCTTTGTTGTTATAATGAGTTCCAATTTTTTTTTTCATTCTCTTGACATGATCACACAGTGTAGATTGAATACTTTCTGAGTAACTGGTTCAGCTCATGACTTGATTTCTTTAGGAACTTCTCATGTGCCTCTATATATTATTTTTATAGTTCATGCTGTGTGGTGTTAGTAGTCATGTGTGTCCACAGCTTTCTGTCTCTAATACTTTCAGTCATATCTCACATAGAAGGTACTCCATGCCATGATAAAAAAACTGCCCAGCATCTTCTCTCTTGATCCAATTTTCCCCTTTTTATTATGGCACCCATGAATGTAGATTGTCTCTTTCTGATGTGGCAGTCAGTCCTCTTCATGAATTGACTATATACACAGTTCAGTTATTCAGGGACACTGGTATTTTGCTTTTGTAGACAGGCAGATTTTCTGTGGTCTTGTTTGCAATTTCTGCCCAGTGGCATCCTGGGTGACTGTTTATTAAACACGAAATGTAATTTGTTTCAGATACACGGAGCCAGATTTTCTGTTTGTGCGGTCATGGCTGCCATGTGTTTTCTTCTCTGGGGGTGTCACAATGGGAAATATAGGTAGACAGTTGGCCACAGTAAGTAGCACTTGTTGGTATCTGCAAGTATCACTCTTTCATAGCTGTAAATATCCTCATTAAGTAGCTGTAAATTGTTTGATAGCTGTAAATATCTTTGTTTATTATCAGTAAATATCATGGTTTGGTAACAGTAAGTATAGTTGTTTGGTAGTTGTAGATATCGGTGTTGGATATCTTTAAATTTCATGGTTTGGTAGCTGTAAATGTCAGTTTGGCAGCAGTATCATTGTTTAGTAGCCTTAAATATAATTGTCTTAATTGTAAATATATTTTAGTAAGTGTAAGTGTCATTGTTTGGTAATACTAAATATCAGTTTGGTAGCTGTAAAGATCATTTTCATTTCTTTGGGCTTGTCTTGTTCTTCCCCAACCATAAAGTGCACTAACCCACTGTACCCTTGGAAGTCACGATACTGCAGTGGCCAGACGCTCATTTGCCGACCAAAAGATCTTAGTTCAGCTCTTTTTAAGGCTTTTCTCCCTACAAAATTGACCATGGCTCCCAGGTCAGCCCAGCCTAAAATTGCTACAGGAGGTGAAGTCAAGTCAACTGGCATGATTTTGACCACAACGCCTACGTAGCTCCGATTGGGCTATAAAAAAAATATGAGTCTAACATTAGATGCTAGATTAATGCTTCATTAAAAAAAAGATCCCCCCCTTTTTTTTTTGTGTGGAACTAGCAGTGAATGATGTTTTATGTGTTTTCACCAAACTCCCTCCCCCTCCCTCCCAGAGATCAGAATGAAGGATCTTTAAGTAGACATGAACAGATACCAGAGATATATAGATATATGTAAATCTTATCACCTCTTGTGTTGGGATTAGTCACAGGAAATATGAACATTATACCATTTTTACAAGAAGCCTTAGTGTAGGGTTACTTTTCTGAAAATAAGTCCTTGATGCAGTTTATCTTAAAGAAATAACACCGCCCGTCTAAACAACTTCCTTTACCCAGTTCTTCTTTTTCACTATTTACCTAAGTTAGGTGTTGGGAAGAAATGTAAGCTTTGTTCGTGCACTTTTTCCATTGCAAATTGGTGTTCATTTCTGTTAGTTTGCTCCTGATGGTGTCGCTTCATGTCTTGTGTGGTCTTCCCCTTGCTCTGTGTTCGTTATATTTCTTCAGTGTGGCTCTCTGTGGCAGTTGGTACCAGGGCATTCTCGTCAGGTGGCCAAACCATCTCATTTGTTGTTTTTTAATGAATTGTATGACAGGTTTTAGTTTTAGTCTTTTAATTTTTTCACTCCTGGTTTTATCTCTTCCTGTCACACCGGCAGCTCTCCTAAGACATCTTTTCTCTATGGTTACATTCTTGCGCTCATTAGTTGTAGTAAGGGTCCACGTTTGGCACTGGTAGCACACTGACGGCCAAAAAACTGTTCTGATGAGATTCTGTTTATTACTTTTACCCAGTAATAAATAAAATCTTGCACTTATGTAATTCTGTTTCAGTGACACGTGTCAATGTTTGTGACTACAAGATTATCAAAGCTTTACATTTTTCCACACAGTATGATGCCGAAACAACGAGTGAGACCCGAGTCAAGCGAGACTGAGTGGGATGTGCATTTACCAGTGTCAAAGAAACCAGGGTCAATGATCTGATCACAGATTCGGCAGAACATTCTTGCTACAGGAAACTTGCCAGTGTGTATTACAAATCCAGATCTGTGGTCTCTATGCAATATCATCTATACCACAAGATCTGGTGCTCCTGCTGTGGCCCCCACCATAGCCAACCCAAACCTCATTCCCTTCATTCACAGAGAGAGTGAGAGAATGTTGCAGTTTTAAGGCATGTCTGTGTATTGTACGTAAAAACATAAGGCAGTTTTATTTGTTTTTTGTTTCTAGCACAGTCTCTGAGAACCAGATATCAGTTGTCTGCTCAGTTTTGACATCCTCTGTAAAGTTTTCCATGTATTTACAATTTTTTTTCCCTTAGTGGTGATAGGCAAAGTTTTGTTTCAACATGACATGCTACATTGCTGATAAATAAAACATATAGACTATTTTATTTTTATGGTGATGGTTATAATCTTGCCATATATATATTTCCACTCTGAACAGAGGAAAATTATTATCGTTATTTTGAGGTGATAGTAGTGAAATGATTCCCAGAAGAATTTGATCAGATGCCCAAAGGGAATAATAGCCACAAGAAAAGACATGAGGGTTTTGTAATATGTCTATGTGGTAAGGGATGGAGATTTTATTGTCGGCTAAAGTGTTGCTAACCTGTCAGGGTAAAATCAGAAAAGAAAAGGTCAGATGGTAATTACAGGAATAAAGTCTATACAATCCTGAAATTTTGTTTCCATACAATCTTTACCACTAGAAAATATGTTCTTTTAGAGTTGGTAGTTTGTCTGTTAATAGAAATCAAAGAGTTTTATAAGAAAGCAAGACTCAGATACAATGCAGCCCAAAGATATGCACATAATTATGAAGTTCTTTTTTTTTATTTGAAAAAAAGAAAAATAAATATATATTTATTAAAGATTTTGGATTTGAATCTGCACAGTAGCAGATTTTGTTTTCTCTCTTCAGAATTGATCTTGTCTCCCAGTTCGACCCAGTCTGAAATGGGTACCAAAAAATGTCCTGGGAAGTCAATAACGGCCACTATGACTTGACCACAATATCCACTGAGGGTCGATTGGTCTTAGACAAATATGAGTCTGTCATCATATGTGTGCCACTGGCATACAGAGGTTCATTAACTTACATGAAAAGTATATGATTGAATACAATAGCATAATATAGCATTAATTAATTGTGTCAGAGGAAACATGACTAAATTATGGCTGGAATAATTCTGTTTTAAAAAATGAATGTTTAATGTATGTTATATCCCCATATATTTAGATTAAAATTATAGCAAATTTTATTTTCTTGGCTTATTGGTCTACATTGACGTGCATCGTAGAATCATGATCCTCTGGACAAATTTGAAATTTCCAGTTTTCTGTCGCAGCACATTGAATCATTCATCAGCATATACGTTCCACTTTTCTGTGAATCAGTTTGATATGTACTTGTTGATTAGAGATCAAGCAGTTTGATAAGTACTTGTTGATTAGAGATCAAGCAATTTGATATGTACTTGTTGATTAGAGATCAAGGTGACGTAAGCGCTTGAAAAAATATTTGGTTCATAAGGAAAAAACAGAATGGGAAAGTGATGAAAACAGCAGAAAGTGGAACACACAAACATTTGTTTAGAATATCTAATAAAGAAAGTTAAATCAAGTGGTTCTGTTTATTAAATATGTCTCCAGGTCTGTCTACTCATTATCTTACACTCTAAGATTAGTTTTTTGCTCTTTGCCTGTCTCCAACTGAAATCTCACCGTATATGTTTATACTTGAATACTTCTGGCTGTTGTGTATCAGAAAAAAAAAATAGAAGTGGAATATGTAATCTTTGTTTTTTTTTTTTTCTTTTCTTCCTGTGTGGGTTCCGGGGCACATTTGGGGGAGGGGGGATGTTAGGAAAGAATAGGCCCAAATACCCCCAGCACACATCAAGCATTTCCTAAAAGGCAACTATCATTAGTTTGCTCAAATCAGTTTTTTTTTTAAACATTTATTTTTGTGTGCACTAATTTGTTTAGGGAGGGGAGGGGTTGATAAGTTCAGTGTAGTAAATCAAATAAGTCAAATCGAAAGGAATACCTTTCTGTCATAATAATACTGCAAATAAAAAGGTTAAAGGTGTGAACAATCTATGTGTTTTCTCTTTGTGAGCTGCTACTTGATTATTTGACAACTGCTGCAACTGCAGGTTGCATCATGGATGACACTATGACAGAGCAAATCCCAGTGAGCCCGTGCAGTCCCCTACTGAGCTGTATGTCACAGGTGACAGTCACATCATGGTGTATCCTCCAGCCCTGTAGTATGGATGAGGAGTTTTGTGATGCGCTATAAACAGTTATGGCTGTTTTCAGTTGGATATACACAAACTCTGATGTATTTTTCACTTTCTTTGTATGTGTGAACCCTAGAGAAAGAATATAATCACTCGCACTTTGTTACATTGTGAGTGAATTGACCAGAATGTTCTTACACATGTGGGGCTTAGAGTTTAGTGAAATTATTTCACAATTCAGTGTTGACGTACCACAGTTGGAATCTCTCAGCGGGTGGTTGAAAAAAAGACTATGTTCTTGCAGTTTTCTGAGATCATGACTTGTGTTGCACTATGGGAGAGACTGAGGCCATACCATACCACATACTATAGCCAAAGAAAGCAGATGGATACGCTACAGCTAAGCTCCACTGTGAAGACGTACATTTAAGAAAAAAGTATGATCACTTGAATTTAGTTAAATACCGAGGCACTGTTTGATGTATAGCTTTGATCACAATCCAGTGCCATCTGCACAATGAAAATAGTTCAACACGAGTCTGTTGTTCTCTGTTCTGCATCTTCTTGGTGTACACAGGCTGCTTTCAGTCTTTCATTAATGTTGTCTGGACACTTTTGTCTTCCTCTGGCATTCTTGCCCTCAACTCTTCCCTTCAGCACATATTTGAACAAGGAGCTGTCTGAGGCATTCAGGGAAACACAAAACCGTGATCTCATAATAAAAGCAACCATGCACTTGACACCGCAACAGCTGCAAGTCTTTGCAGTGTAGCCCCCATTGCCCTACGAAAAAAATATATAGGCACTTGTTCATATGTGGCTACAAGGTGAAAGGAATAGAAAGACACGCCGAGAAGGAATTTAAAGAGCGAGACCCACAAAATTAGGAATGAGCTGCACATGACAGCAGAGGATAGGACAACCTGGCTTAAGTTGATTAATAAATAGTCTGTGCTCCATTGGGGAGATACAGGGCAGGAAAAGATGACATCTCCTTATATTGTCTGTTTAGAGGTGAAACAATTATGGGTAGTTGATGCTTCCACTGATTAATTTAATTAAATACACAGACGCATTGATATAAATAGGCAGACTTATTGATATAAATACACAGACTGATTGATATTAATGCACAGACTGGCTGATATAAATATAGACTGACTGATATAAATATAGACTGACTGATATAAATATAGACTGACTGATATAAATATAGACTGACTGATATAAATATAGACTGGCTGATATAAATATAGACTGACTGATATAAATATAGACTGACTGATATAAATATAGACTGACTGATATAAATATAGACTGGCTGATATAAATATAGACTGACTGATATAAATATAGACTGACTTATATAAATATAGACTGACTGATATAAATATAGACTGACTGATATAAATATAGACTGACTGATATAAATATAGACTGACTGATATAAATACAGACTGGCTGATATAAATATAGATGACTGATATAAATACAGACTGGCTGATATAAATATAGACTGACTGATATAAATATAGACTGACTGATATAAATATAGACTGGCTGATATAAAAATAGACTGGCTGATATAAATATAGACTGGCTGATATAAATATAGACTGACTGATATAAATATAGACTGACTGATATAAATATAGACTGGCTGATATAAATATAGACTGACTGATATAAATAAATGGACAGATTGATGTAAAAACAAAGACTGATTCACTGACAAAGAATAACTTATATATAGATATACAGATAGACGAGCAGCACTTCATCGAATCACCACTGTTGTATTTATTATTTATGATCAGTTACAACTATACCATTTAACAAAACTGCTGTTGCATATTTTTTTTTCCTTCCATTTTTCTGTTGCAATTTATTGTGTTAACCTGGGATTTACTAATCACATTGCAGACATGATAAGTGCTATGAAAGTTTATGGTTTTTAAGTATAGATGTACCATCAGTCTGCATAAATGATATGCTCAAATGAACATTGAAAACAATGCCATAAAAGTTATGTGATGTGTAGATATATGCTTGAGAGTCCAGACTTCTCTGTGTGGGAGATATATGCTTGTGAAGTCCAAACTTGTGTGTGTGGTAGATATATACTTGTGAAGTCCAAACTTGTGTGTGGTAGATATATACTTGTGAAGTCCAAACTTGTGTGTGTGGTAGATATATACTTGAGAGTCCAGACTTCTCTGTGTGGTAGGTATATGCTTGTGAAGTCCAAACTTATGTGTGTGGTAGATATATACTTGTGAGTCCAGACTTCTCTGTGTGGGAGATATATGCTTGTGAAGTCAAGGCTTCTCTGGGTGGGAGATATATGCTTGTGAAGTCCAGGCTTCTCTGGGTGGGAGATATAGGCTTGTGAAGTCCAGACTTCTCTGTGTGGGAGATATATGCTTGAGAGTCCAGATTTGTTTTTGTGGGAGATATATGCTTGAGAGTCCAGACACATTGAGAATATAATAATGCAATGCTAAAAACCACCATGTTGTGGGGAGGGGCGCGAGGTAGAACTAAGGAGAGTTGGCGTGATGTGGAAAAGTTTATCAACGAAAGCCATAACTATCCAAAGGGCTTGTTGTGAGTTTGTTGAGAGCCCACACTTCACTGACATTTGAAAGACAAAAGAGTTAATAGATATTTGTTTTTTTAGCC